TATATTGTCGTAGTCGTGTGTTTATTAGTCACGTTGAATTAATGAAAGCTGTTGAATCTTCTGTTTATTCAGCTGCAGCTATAGGCATTTTCTGGGTTTCTTCTGCGAGGCGTATTTGGAGTTTCAGCGCCAGAGCGCCCTCTGGCCTTTGGATGGAGATTTACTGCTGATCACAGAACCGTGCTTCACTGAAAGATACACATGACAATCGCAGCTTCTGTCGAATCGCGATCTCGATTCCATTTTGATTTGTCGTGCAGCCCTAGTTTTAGGGATGGAAATTTAAGCACTCCGTAATCACAGGTAAACTGTCTGATCAGTCAGATGTTTGTCATGAGAAGTGTTCCACAAAACAGCTATGGTTTGAGTTGATGTGACAAATACGTCTTTTGAATATACTGTGTGAACTCATTGCCCTGTTAGCTCGGAGAGCTTTATTTTCCCTCCTCAATAAGTTTTGTCAGTTGTTTTGTTTATTGGTCTAATTCTTGTTTCTTGGGATGCATTGGTTAGTCACTTAATTAATTCTCTTGTGCTTCGTTCCCCACTTCTGATTTATGTTGTATTGATAAGGAGTTATCACAAAGTAAGTCTGTTTAGTTGTGCTATCTTACAATCAATATATAGTAAATGTAAGTTAAAGTGTCGCCAATGTAACCGGTTAAAACTTGGAGTGGCGATGAGGTCTTAAAATGTATGGAAAGAGTCTTAAAAAAGGTCTTAAAAGGTATTAAATTTAACTCCATGATTCCTGTATATACCCTGCTGAAGGCGTCATTAGTTTCCTGCTGATCTGATATATTTGCAAGACTCGATCTACTGAATTGAACTGAACTGCCTCTGATGGTATCTAGTCACTGGACTTGCATATGCAAACCCTGGGAAATGCAGCTCACCCAGGAGGGTCTGAAACCATCTCATAATGGTTAAAGCATTCAGTTTAGATTCTGATTCTGAAGAGTCTCTTACAGTGACACTGTTTGTTTTTGGTTTGTGTGTTAGGTAGTACTTTGCCATGATGGGGTTGGAACGATATTTATGAAGCTAAGCTAATCTAATCTCAAGAACATCTGGAGAACCATTCTCATGGTCATTTTTCTCAAGGCCTAAGCACGGTAACTACAGATAATAGTTTGTTTTAATGAGCTGTTAGAAATGCATTACAGTTCAAAGTACAGGGTTTTTTTTGTTGTTGTTTTTTTTTTAGAAATAATTTTTTTTCATCAAGTATGCATTAAATTGACCAAAAGTGACAGTAAATATATTTTTAATGTTTCAAAATATTTTACAAATATATTCCAAATATTATTTTGAACATTATTCATCAAAGAATCGAAGAAATATGAAGCAGCACAACTGTTTTCGACATTGATAATGATAAGAAATGTATCTTGAGCTGCAAATCAGCATATTAGAATGATTTCTGAAGGATCATGTGAGACTGAAAGTGGAGTAATGTTGCTGAAAATACAGCTTTGCATCACAGGAAAAAATTACATTTTTAAAATTTACTCACATACAAAAGAGTTTTTTTACATTGTAGTACTATTTCCCTACTGTTTTTACTGTATTTTTGATCAAATAAATGAGCCTTGGTGAGCAGAAGAGACTTCTTTCAAAAACATTCAAAAAGTCGTACCGATCCCAAACGTTTGAAGGGTACTGTATATTTTGACTTTGGTTGCTGTAGTTTAGTACACGTCTTCCTGGAATATGTGATTCTGCTTTCTGATCATATATTTTCTATGTAAATGTCTGCTTCATACATAAGTACAAACAAACCCTTGTTGGATCAAAGAGTGAAGCGGCTCATTGGGGTTAAGGTGAGCTCCGAATCTCTGAGGGATCATCTTTGCTCTCTTGGGCCCCAATAAGGCATTTGAGTAGCAGAAAAAGATGGAAAATGAAAAAGAGAGTTGAGAATATGATCAGTTTAGGTTTCTACAGTCTGACATTTTGTGTAATAATAAATGTATAATTCCTATAATAATATATATATATTACATGTAATAGTGAAGTGTGGTCAAGGGGCCCCAGCTGGTTTCTCCTACTGTGAAAGTGAATCTGGCTGTCATTAATATGTCTCTATGCATAGTTTGTGATTCATCTGGTAGTTGTTCACCAAAGTTCATCGTTTTTCCATTCACCCAACCCTGACTCAGCATGAAAAGCCTAATACATGCTCACACGTGCATGCTGACTCCTGTGTTTTGTTCGAGTTGTAGCTGTGACTGAGCGTAAGTTACATTACTGTCCACTAGAGGGCAACCGTCGCCTTACACCCTCAAAACTCTTTTCTAATGAGGTCATTACTAATACTGACACACCCAGCATTCTCTTGATTACAGTGTTTCCAATTTTACATCTAAAATATGATTTAATTACATTGCACTGAAACATTAATGTTGATCTACAAGTCGAATTAGCATGTTTTGTTTATGTGTGCTTGATGCAGTGTAGTTTCAGTAACAAGAGTAGGCCTAATACTTATAAGTAACCTAGAAGTACTTCGAGTGCTTTGGTTAATTTTAATATATTAGTGAGTAATGAACAATATTTTAATCAGAAAACACAGTGGAAGATAAAGCAGGTTGCCATGGCAATGATGGGGGTGGAAACTGATAGTGGGAGAGCTAGAGAAGGTTGCTATGGCAACAATGCCAGTCTTTGAGATGGAGCTGAGGTTACCATAACAACCACATCACACCCTCTCAGAAGGCAACCTTGAAATAATGACTTACTTAACACAGAGATGAACACTGGAGGTGTCTGACAGAGCATACATTAAGATAATGAAAAAAAAAGGGTTTTGTTTTTCTCAAATATGCCAGACTGACAGATGTTATCCTATGGGATTGCAGTGTCAAATGCAGATTGGAAAGTGTCATATCGCAACTCTCAGTCAAAAGAAAGATTTAAGGGTTTCGATGGTGATGTGAGATAAGGAACGAGAAATTAATATCATATACTGGGTTACATAAGTGGAAACTAAATCAATCATCATGACAACCTGTGATGTGCGTCATCCTTCAAATGAATCAACACCTAATTGTGTTGACAAGACGCATCAAACCCAACAAGTCGTTCTTGAAATGTTGGTTCTTTGTCAGCAGGCTGTAATATCTGTGATGTTCTGTATGTTTAGACATCAGGCAGTCTGTTGATGTGGACATGGCACGCTAGTTGACTGTATCATGTACTGAGGTGGTGTGTGTGTGTGTGTGTGTGTGTCTGTGTTACAGCAGATATGGAGCAGGTATCAGATGATGAGTTGGACCATACTGCTGAAGAAGACAGCGATAAGGAGGACCAGGATCTGGACAAGATGTTTGGCGCCTGGTTGGGAGAACTGGACAAGCTCACAGAGGTGACAGTCGCTCAGTGTGATATTGTGACGTATTATATTTTGAATATGATGTGTCTTCAGTTTGGGGGCTTTTCTCAGGAAATTTTTATATGTGCAATTCATTAGATTTTTGTAGTTAATTCTGTTTATAATATGTTGGTCAACATTAGAATTTTTTTATTTTTTTATCAGTGTAGGTCAGCATTGTACATTTAATTGTACATGCTCGTTTCCTCTATTTTTACATTTAGATTGTCTTTGCCGTCAGTGGTTCTCAATCAGGGGACCGGGGTCCAATAGGGGACCTCAGCAGACTTCCAAAGGGGCCTAAAGATGACTTAAAGTGATTTAATATAAGATAAAACAATTAACGTGTAAAAACACTAATAATTGAGTAACTATATAAATATAATCAATTTTTTATATCAATCATATTGTACATTATCATGTTGTGATGCCTATACTCGCATATAGAATTTAAAATCTTGATGATACTTTTTAATGTTTTATTTAGTTTTTTTAGTCAAAATAGTATAAAATTTTTATATCAGCTGTTTAACGGTTATAATCTGGCCATACCATGAAAATTATTTTCTGCCAGAATTTAGTATTCTATTACAGTTTTTAATTCACAGACTTAATTCAGATTCTCGTATTGATGATTATATTCATGATCTGTCTGTCTTGTCTCACCTGATCTCACGTTCCCCTGTCTCTCTCTCTAATGTAGAGTTTGGATGATGGGCGTCCTGAGAAAATGCAGAAAGCTCCTCTCAGACAGGAAACAAACCTTGCCACCTTCTCCTACCGTTTCTCTATGTACAACATCAACGGTTAGACTACACCCAGAAACACACCACTTCTGATTACTCAGCATACATTAGCACTCAAATTCCCACTCAAAACGCCTTCACATGCATCTGATATGGTGGTGTTGCGGCATGCTGCAGTTTTCATAGATTATCATTAGACCACCAGCATAACAGCAGAATGGTTGTAATTATAGTTTACCATGCACAAACACTACGGTTCAAATGTTTGGGGTTGTTTTATGTTTAATGTTTAAGTCTTTTTTGCTCACCAAGGCTGCATTTATTTGACCAAAAATACAGTAAAAACAGTAATAATGTGAAATATTATTACAATTTAAAATAACTGTTTTCTATTGAAGAGTTTATCTCACATATATATGTATCCGTACATATATTTTACACATAATAACTACACACACAGATATGTACATATATATATATATATATATATATATATATATATACACATATACATACCCACATACACACATATATACACATTACAATTATGATACACATATCCGCACACATATTTACACCTATAATACTTGCTTGAATTCTATATATTCTTTGATATATAGAAAGTTTAAGAGAACAGCATTTATTTAAAATAGAAATCTTAACATTATGAATGTATTTACTATCACTTTTAATCAATTTAATGCATAATTAAAGTATTAATTAATACAAACATTTAAATGGTAGCATGCTTGAATTAAATGAATTAAAATTGTCCTCTGTCTATCTATGTAGAAGCCATTAACCAAGGTGAGACAGTGGACCTGGACGCCCTCATGGCTGACCTGTGTTCAATAGAACAAGAGCTCAGCACTATCGGCAAACCCATGAGCAAGACCTCAGATGGCAAATCTAGACAAAGACCCACAGGCCGCTCGGCCAGCACCAAACACACCGGAGGGGGCAGCAGTGGAGGAAGCACCAGCAGCAGCACCAGAGCTTCTCCTGCTTCCACCGTACGCGGTGGCAGCAGCCAGTCACGGCCCCTGGCCTCCAACATCTCCCTGGATGACATCACCGCTCAGCTAGAAAAGGCATCCCTGAGCATGGACGAGGCAGCGAGGCAGACTTCTGAATCTTCCTCCTCATCCTCATCCTCATATTCATCTGCAACTCTGTCTCACCCGCCTTCTAACACACATCATCGCCGCACAGGATCGGTTGGTACGGTCAGTGACCACCAGGAAGTGCGCTCGATCGGTCATTCGTCCAGGTCAAGCATCAATTCTGCCTCGGCGTCCAGCATGGACTCACTGGACATTCGAGGGCAGGAGAATGAGGTGCAGTCACAGAATCAGAACCAAAGCCAGACTAGCACAGAGGTAACACACACACACACAAACATGATATTAAATCTTTTTTCACTCTTTTTTTCCTTTTGAATTATTGCATAGCTAGTGCTTAGATTTCTGACTCTAAGAAGAACTGGGCGGTAACATGACAGCATGTCCATAGAGGACCAGAGGTTTATTAGGCATGAGAGACCATGCTACTCTGAGAGTTTCAGCAGAGTGAGACATAGCAGAGAGAAAACTGAAAGCAGATGTGAGGGGCTCAAAACTAAAGCAGAACACCAGAAAATAAATATCCACTAAAGAAAAAGGATAAAGAGGATTTTTCAGTCAACACAGGGATAATGGTCTCAATCACATTCGCTGCTTTCTTTAGCACATAGATTGAAGCCGAATCTCACAACATCAGGTTATGTATTCCAAGTATAAAGTCAACATGAATTGTAATTCACAACCCATTTTACATTTTCTTTTCATCTTTTCTTACATTTTTTGAAATCTGTTAAAGATGCATTGGCACTTTCATGCTAATTTAAAAAGTTTTACCCATTAAGAAACAATGTTGAAGAGTCATCTGAATGGGGTTCACTTGCATGAAAAGAAGACTGACTGTACTTTTAGTAGACTGTACTTTTAGTACTTTTTAATAGTAGTTTTCTATATAAAAAAAAGTGTTTTAATTGGTGCTGGTCAGCCTGATGTATTTCTATGTTAACATGACGTGACCGGTGATGTTTCACTTCACACTCATTAGCTCCCGTCTCCATTGACAGAACTCAGAGATGATAATGCTGATCCACGCTGATAGATGAACATTGCAGCATCTTTCACCATTGTGGTATTGGTACAACAGAGATGCTTAAGCTAGCTAAAGAACTACTCAATGCAACTTTAATTCAAAAATACATTAAGTATGCCGTTTATACAAACAGTTACTTGAATGCATCGTTTCTATAGTGAACATTTTTGTTTTTGTAAAAACAGTAATAATGTGAAATATTATTACAATTTAAAATAACTGTTTTCTATTGAAGTATATTTTAAATGTAATTTATTCCTGTGATGCAAAGCTGGATTTTCAGCAGCCAATTCTCCAGTCTTCAATGTCACATGATCCATCAGAAATCATTCTAATATGGACCGGTGATGTTTCACTTCACACTCATTAGCTCCCGTCTCCATTGACAGAACTCAGAGATGATAATGCTGATCCACGCTGATAGATGAACATTGCAGCATCTTTCACCATTGTGGTATTGGTACAACAGAGATGCTTAAGCTAGCTAAAGAACTACTCAATGCAACTTTAATTCAAAAATACATTAAGTATGCCGTTTATACAAACAGTTACTTGAATGCATCGTTTCTATAGTGAACATTTTTGTTTTTAATTTCTGAATTCAATTTTATTTTAATATTTTTGTTACCATTATTTCTTATAATTGTTTTAACATAACGGCTTATTAAGATGTAAAATTAATAAATTAGTCAAATTAATTGTCTCAAACAAGTTAATAATTAAGAGTAAAAATTTCTCCCCTTGTAATATGTGATATGTCAGATGAATCACTAAAAAAAAGTCCATGAGAATGCATGACAGTAAATAGGGTCAACTTTTGATTTCATGCTGACTTCAGTACTTCATCATATCAGTTGGCCAGGTTCATTATTTAAGAGTTGCTTAATATGGATGTTTGTGTGTGTATATGTGGGTGTTAAAGAGAAGAAAATTCTAATTGTAAAAATCTTTTCCCGTCTATGCAACTTCAGACAGGAACTTTAAGACATTTATTCATACATAAGTAGAATTATGACTAAAACTAATTAATGTCTTAGTCATAATTCTATTTTGAATAAATGTCTTAAAGTCAGTCTAATTACTACCAAAAAAAAGAGTCATTGACATTTTAGAAAGTTTATCCTGTTATTCACTAAACAATTTAGAACAAAGAGGGTCTCTTTACTTGGACAGTCAACATTCCCTCTGACCCAGACACACACACAGAGTTCTATTCATAGCAGTTTTGTTCTTTTGTTAAGGGCAAAGTCTGTATTGTGGTTTTGGGAAATGTGATGATCGAGGTTTCGCTGAATACACCATTGAATCATTAAAGCTTAGTCATCTCTTGGCTGGCCACATACTTTTCACACACACACACTTACTTACAACCAATTTCTCACAAGCACACACACTGAGCTTTAATAGTTCTTCAGTACTGTTGTCAGAACAATAAACCAGAGATGATATTTCGCCACTCTTCTAACCACAGCGTTGCTCATCCGCACCAGGATGTACAGACCCGAGCACTTCACTCAGCTAAAAAATACATACTGTGGTTTCAGATGTAAACAAGCGCTGTTTCACAGATGGAACAACGTGATAGGATTTCATGTCTGTGTGTGAGCGAGAATGTGTGCACAAATCTTGCTGTCGTAATCTTGCATGAGACACAGACACTGTGCTGGTCACTGTAAACAGTACAGTGTGACAATAACACCTGTTATGCTATATGGCTATGCTATTCTAACTTATTTAAATGCATGATGTGTTGGTTTTGGTAACATCTTTGTTGTTGTACTGTATGCTTACACTAAAAAAAGTTCTATAGGAGCAACAGATGACATGGCTTCTATAATGTCATCTATATTAATATGAAACAAGGGTTTTCAGCCACTGCTCTGTGGACCCAGGGGCTCCATGAATGTATACTGCAGGGACGATACACAGTATAAAACAGATAGGGATTGTCAAAGCATTATATGATGTTTTAATGAAAGTTATTTGAAAATGATACTGGCCTTTATTTATATTGGAGCAGGGATCCATTGGCCTATAAAGCTTGAAAGTGTGTCATGTTCAATAAAAGTTCAATTCTATGGACAATATCAGAAAATAATTTGTAAAAACAAACAAAAGGCATGTTTACAGTAAAGATCTGAAAATTGATTTTTTTGTCTGGCAAGGCATTGCAGCAAGAGTAAATGTAAAATATAGACTGCTTCTAAAATGTAGCCAAAGACTTGCATTATTTGTGTCAAATATGCAAGACTAATATGATGAAAATATGATGTAAAGTCAAACTCCTCATAAAGCCAGTAACTTTTTGTGCAAGGATACCATAGAAGGGACATGACATAGCTATCTGCAAAGTATTGTTTACATGAAGCAAACTCACACCCACAGGACTGGCACTGTTAATGCCTAACTAGTATTTCATCCACCTAGAACTATAGGCCCACTGCTAAAATGACCATTTTGAGAACTTAACAGCTAGTACAAGCCCATTAACTTTTGTTCATCTTCAGAACACGAGTGAAGATGTTTTTAACATTCTTAATCATTTTGGTCATCATTTAGTGAGGTTTGTTCTCATGCATCAAGCAAGTACGGTTAAGCTTCTGTTTACCATATTTGATGTGCTCTGTGTATTTGCGCTGATCAATGTTTGTATGTCGATAAAAGGCTAAATAAAATCCGTTCATCATATAAAGCAATCGTGGCTCTTCAGAAGACCTGGATTAAACCACTCTATTTGTATGGATTATTTCACAATGTCTTTATATTTGACTTATTTTTGAAGATTCAAAATTTTGGTTGCATGGGCATTGAATGGATGAACCAAAATGATTAGAGAATATTAATAATACCATTTGTGTTTTGAAGATTAATTTAAGTCGTATGGGTTTGGAAAGACATGAGGGTAAGACAATTACGGATGAAAAAAAGAGTTCCACTGTACATGCAATAGTGTAAATTGAGTCAAGATTACTTTCTGTACTTATCGATAGTATCGGTGACATATTATATTCTATTAAACCAGAACATGTTTTTACAACAAGAGTGGCGGCATATATTGACCCTTGCTTGTGCATGCCTTGTTTTGCATTGTCTGCTGCATGATTAATGTGTTTATGTTTGCACCTTTTCTGTGATGTGATGTCACTGCCTCCCCCACCCCTTTTCCCAGCATGTCTCACTGCGAAGGGCCAATGGTAAAGCTACCAGACGGCATCTTGACTTCACCTCACAGGAGGGGGAGGTGGATCAAAGTACTGTAAGTGTGTTTGTGCGCGACAGGGGATATGTGTACACAGTATGTTCATTCTCAAAATACTGGCTCTTAGCATAGCTGTGCTAATTCAAGGTTTCATAACGTTTATTCTCAGCTCTTTTTTTTTTCAAAAAGGCTTTTAAAAGAGATCTGTGATCACAATATTTTATAGTCGAAACAGTTCTTTTATATATTTGTTTTCCATCCACACTTTTATATGCCACCTCTTTCTGATTTTGAATAATCAGTGCTCAGGCAATGCTTCCACACTTTCTGTGCTTTACCACAATCAAGTATGTATTTCTATCATTTTTTTTAAATCACTGTAATCATTGCACTGATTAATCTCTGTTTGTCTTTTCCCTGCACCCTAAAGCACTCGTATCTGGACAGGGAGACCTCTCTGATTCTGAAAAACATTGCAGGAAAACCCTCTCACCTGCTGACCAAGGTGACGCCTCCTTTCGCTTGCTTTTCTTTTCTCTGCATGTTTTTGGATTTATTTTGGTTCTTCACTGAAAGCCTTTTAACCTCAGTCTTCTTGCCAGACTTGACACTTTGCTCCACCCACACTGCCTTACTTTTTTAAAGTGCTATATCTCCTGTTTTCTCTTTGCTGCCATCTTCATATGTGTGCAGCCATTTCAAGAAAAAATCAGATCATCCAGTCAAAAGTGTCTATAATGTTTTGTCCTCCTTAATGCTTTCAACCTACAGCACCAGAGAAAGCTTGGGTTGTGTATTATGTCTTTTATTTTGTAACGTACAGGAATTCTTTAAAAAATGATTCAAGTCAGATTTTCTAGTTCATAATGGTCAGTTATTAGCATTCACAGATTGAAGGTTAGAAAGGTGTTATCGTTTTATATATATATATATATATATATATATATATACTGTATATATATACTATATATATATGTATGTGTAGGCTTAGAGATGAAGTAGTATGTTTAGGAATTTTTGTGGTTTTCATGACTAATGTAAAGTATTAAAGTTACGAATATCCTTTTGGACCTCGGTTAAGAAATGCGTTTAGTATATAAAACAGATTTGTAAAGAGGTTCTGGGTTTTTGTCTGCATTTTATGTTTGTGTTTGATGCTTTGGTGAGTTATCAAAGTTATCGCTGGTTCCCTGAAGAAATGGCTGTTCATCACTTATATTATTTCATTTTAGGACCATTTCAGTTCAAGAACTATATAAAACTGAAACCAATATACCTATTCTTATGGGTTTTTTTGTGTGAAAGTGGTGTCTCTTGACTGTATTATTTTAAAGGGATAGTTTAGCCCAAAATACTAATTTTATTATTTACTCAACTTTTTTTGTTCCAAATCTGTAAGGCTTTTTTTTTCTGCAGAGCACAAAGAAGTTTTTTTTTTATGTTGTATATGATTTCCATTGTATAGTAAAAATTAATAAATACATTCTCATAAAATTTTCTCACAGACAAAGAAGAAAATCATACAGGTTTGGAACGACAAGAGAGGAAGTAAACAATGACGGAATTTTCATTTTTGTGTGAACTATCCTTTCAATAATGCTGTTAGCCATGCAGCATAGACAGAGCCATGCATTTGTTTTCCAATAAGCATTAATTAGCTTGAAACAAAAAGCTCTATATTGAATAACTTCTTGCTTTTAATTTATTCCTGAGAACAGCTATTATTATGCATGTGACTGTAATTCCCATGTTGTCATACCAGCAAAGGCGCTTTGCAGGTGCAGAGCATTGTGGGTAAGAGTGCTTTTGTCACGTGGAGCGAAATAATAAGCATCCGAATCTGACGCCACTTTGATTTTTCAAGGTTGTGTGAGCTTTTGTTAAACCTTGAAGCTGCTACGGCCAAATTAATACGGTTTATTATTTTCTCAAGTTCATTGTGCTGCATTACAACAATATCTTTGGTTGTTGTTATAGTGTAGTACATTTTTGAATTAAAGTTTTACATGTATATGAAGTTTTTACAGAAATAGCTATTTTGAATTAAATTCAGAAGTTTTTGCTGCATCCCCCGTTTGCTTTAATAAGAGCATCCACTTGAACAGGCACTTGATGTACATGCAAGATGTGACCTATGTTATTCCAACATGTTTCGAGAATTTCTAGTGACCTAGAAATAGTGCAGAATATTTCTTCATTTTACACCATAATGTTTCTTTGTTTAAATTTTCAGAAACCTATAGATTTCTTTTTATTACGGTTTAAATTAGATTTTTCAGTCCTATGTTTTCAAGGTGTCATTAAATAATGAGTTTGTCTTTTTTTAGTTGTTTAGGAATTTGTTTTTGTTTTTCTTCTTTAAATGAAGCAGAGTCAGCTAAGTTTAATATATTTGTCATGACCTTAGACCAAGTCATTATCTATTTACACAAACCGAGGCGGAGATGTTCTTGAAATCCCACTCTGATTTCCTCATGATTTCATCAGAACAGTGTTTGCGTTCCTGTTCACTCTGGATGGACTCACTCCAGACTGCTGAGACACAGACTCTCTGCCTTAAACAGAGCAAGAGAGAACCCGGGAAAAGAAAAAAAGACTTAAAAGGGAAGTTAATGCTTTTTATCGAAGCCTCTGCCTCGGCTGTTTGCAGAGCTCTCCATTCTCTCTCTGTCTCTGCATCATAGATATGCATCTGCCATAGTAATTCGAAAGAGAAGCTGTCCTTTCATATCACGTATACCACACTTTTTTCCTTCCTTCCTCTTCATTATATGCTTTTCATTGCATATACTTTGCATATTGAAATCTTTATTTGTCTGCCTCTGACTTTGTATTTCTTAATCAGCCCATAACCTGCTCATCCTGTTATAAAAAAATGACATAATAATATTCAAAGTTGACTTAAACACAGTGTCACTTAAAACCCTCGTCCTTATAAAACCCCCTTTTTAAAATGTGAAAAACAATAAATACAAGGCTTAGATATTATTCATCCCCACGGTACCCCCAAAAAGGGAGGGTGTTTTTCCACAACCACAGAAAAAGGATCAGAGAACAATGTCATCTACATTTGGCCTCAGAAACAAACCTCACTGATTGGCTGCAGAGAAGTATGTGTACTTTCCGATTGGAGAAGAGGTGCGAGAGGGTCTTCTATAGCTGATGGTGGCTTGGTCTACTGGTGAGGGGGATTAAACCCTGTGATTGGGCACGCTACCAGAGACATGCAGCTGTTTCACAGAGAGGGAGCGAGACAGTGAAGAGAAGGGGAGGTCTCAATCCCTCCCAATGTTGAGGAGTAGAGTTGTGTGTAAGGTGCTCTGGGTGTAAAGATATGTGAGGGGAAGCGTTTTCATCTGTGTGTCACGACCAATGCACATTTCGCCTTCACGTTCCTTCAGATTGAGCGGCAGTAGACGTATTTTTTGGATTATTTGAATGATTTCCATCAGAGGCCATTCCTGCAGCAGCTCTGAAACTTCAGCTGGAAGTACCTGTCAGGTCTTGAAATAGCTGCCATCTGTGACGAGAACGTCCATTTATTGGATTTAAGAAATATTTCAGCTGCTACAAATCTGTGTGTCTCTTTAAATTTGTATTGAATGAATGAACAGCCATTTCTCTAAGGAACCATTAACATGAGAGGTGGTTCAGGAGTGGTCGTGTAACTTCCTTTTGTGTCTCTGGTTGCTGGTTGATCAGACTTTGCGAGGGTTTAGGGTTTGTTTTAAAAGGTCTGAATGGATGTGATGACTGCATGTTGGAGAGGGCAGGTAAGTGTAAAACAGAAATTCACCTGTCTGATTTCATGCCTCAGTAACGGATGAAACTAGCAGACTGTTGGCGTGATACTATGTGAGTGTGTTTCTTTGTTAACATGTCATTTTGTCATTCACAGGAGGAGCAGGCTGCCAAAGCGAAGGCTGAGAAAATCCGTGTGGCACTAGAGAAAATTAAAGAAGCCCAGGTGAAAAAGGTGAGTCAAAGCCCCTGTGATTCTCTGGTCCCCCAAGGGTCAGTGAACCTCCTCTTTCACTGCATGATGCAGCCCTTCAGACGCTCTAGCAGGAGAATTCATAGGATGAATGCACAGTAGAAAATAGGTCACTCGTGTGTCTGTGAGTCTCTGTCTGCTTAGAACGCAAAATGCACAAACAAGATGTCGGTGAAGCTTTCGCTTCAAATTACTTGTTGAAAATTTTTCATTGTGGTTTTTCATTGTCATTCAAACTGGTCTGAGGTTTGCGTTTATTCTTGAGAGACGATCTATCCTATTACACTATTCATCTGAAAGGCACTGTCAAAATAGATGCCACCAGGCACATGCTAATATCAAGTGAATGAATTAGACACAGTACAGTGATTGGGCCTCTGTAGGCGAGACAGATGACTGTTTCCTTTCATTATGTGTATAGAGAAAATTGACAGTATTGAGCAGCAATGGTGCAGTGAGACCGATACGGAATGATACTGTGTCAAATACGCTTTCAATAATACAAGAATAAAAACAGCAGAATATAATAATACACAATGGTCCAAAGGTCTGAAACCCCATTGAAAATCAAAAGCTGGAAATGATGAGAGATTTCAGTATTTAATAAAAAAGAAGTTTAAAATATATATATTTTTTAAAAACTAACAAAGGTCACATTCAAAAAAGCTAGTTTCTTACACTGACCATGTTAACTCAATAAAATGTCAGAATTTCTTCCATTTTAAATAACCCAAGATGATCTTCAGAACATTCTCATCAGGTTTTGCACCTTGTGGAGTCCATGTCAGCTCAACCTTTCACCCAAATAGCTGATAATATAATTGATATATTGTAATGAAAAGAAAAAATGAATTTAGAAATGGAAACATTTTCACAAGTGGTCTCAGATCTTTGGACCCCAGTGTATATGCTTGTGGAGGAAAAATCAGATTTTGCAGACCTGAGCAAAGTTTTAAAAAATGTCACGTTCAATTTAGTCAAAATGCAAGGCATGTAAAGCCGCAGTGATTCAGTTTAGTCAATAAGAGGGAAATGAGTGATTGTTCTGTCAAAATAAGCCTTTCCTGCATTTATCAGTGTCAGTTTGTGCAGTTTCTGAGTTTGTACTCCTTCAGTTGAAATATTATTGCACAGTGTGATAGATTGTTTGTGCTGAAGTCAAAGAATGAGGCAGGCCAGATATGTCATATAGTGTGTGTTTGTTGGAGCACATGTGTGAGAGGGAATTAAGAGAGCATAAACTAGTAGGGTGTTTTCTGCTGAGGTCAGGCTTGGAAACATGCAGGCTTGGCCACATGCTCCCTAATATTCTGATGGCTTTCAGGACCCCTGGCAGGGCTGTCTGTTAATGTGCCTATGCAACATTTCTCTCTCCCTTCTCTTCATTCCTTACTCTCAAGAAGAAAGAAAATGGGATGTGAAATAGAGAGGGATGAAAGCCAGTTGTCCTTCCTGTTCCCAGTTAGTCTTTATTAAAGCCACGTTTCTAAAGATCCACATCATATTCCAATTCAGTCCTATAAATCTTTGAGCAAAGTCAAACATTCCTATTTGAACAACATATTTGTAGCATTCTGTACTAATTATTATTTTTTTCCATCTATACAATATCCCAACAAGTGCACAAGCTTTAGATGCATTCCACGTTTTTCTTGAATTTGTTACAGCCATTTATTTAATTATATTTCAAACATTTGATCTTCCTGATATTTTTAATTGGATATAAGTGTGACCCATGTTATATTTCAGGAGTAAGATTCCACAAGCTAGATTAGTTATGATGATATACATGCCATGAAATATAAGGAAACATGTCAATACTCTTTGGTTTTGCTCACATTCTCGAATCAAGGGAAATAAAGTAACGATAGTAACTATAGGTCTTAACAAGGGTTCCTGTCAGGAGATGTTCATAAGATCACATGTTACAAAATCTAATTTGTCAAAACTGATTAAAAGACAGCACCAAAATAAAGCATGATGTTAATATGCGTTTCATATTATGGGACTTACAGTATGTACTGACAAAAAAAAAAAAAAAAAATCTGAACTATATAATGTCCAGGGTTGGAAATAAACTTTTTTGACTACTAAATTTTTAACTTACTGGCCATTCAGAACATCTACTAGCCATCATAAAAATATCAGAAATAAACATGTTTTTATGAGTCACTGCTTAGATTTCAGCATATTCATTGTAAATCTGAAAAATGAAAGAGTAGTGCCATAAAATGAATTCTGATTGTCACAAAATTCTCTGTGATTGCTCTTATAAAGCAGCATTTATTTTGTTGTAAATTCCAGATATAGCAGACTCTAAAATAAATGTTTAATGGTAAACATGTTTAAGATGAACACATAGGCGATTCATAAATTGATCGGCTGTTTCTTCACAAAAGTCAAGTGTATTGTCGATCTGTTCTCATTTCCAAAGTGTTCAAAAAAAAAAGTCATGCCCCAAAATATTATTTAATGATAATAAAATTGTTCCCTATGACCTTATGATTTCCTGATGATAACATTCCTGTGCTCTTCACATCAGTATATTGACAGCTAGTGTTTCTCATTGCAAACAGCTGGTTTTCTGGCTTTGTCACTATAAAGATGCTAAATGGTGCTTTTGGTGTCTGTATAGCGGTGCACAAAAATCTTGGAAATGTAGAATTTATCTTATGCCTAAGCAGTGAGAACAGATTGAAAAAGTATCTTCACCGTTACGCCGTTTTGCTATTGTTAAATACTTCTTGTAGGAACGGAACAGAGCATAATTTAATAAAAAGCGATAGAATATAATTTATGAATTATAACCTGCCAAATTAGCAAGTGAGTTGATAGCATCTACTGCCACGGTTGATTTTTACTGCATTTTGCAGGTTGACTCATGTTAATTTCAGTACCTGATTATTTTGATTTATTCAAAGTAGCCACCCTTTGGTTAGATAACAGATAGCTTAGCAATACACTCTGGGCATTTTGTCAGCCAGCTTGTCCAAACTATCCAACATCAGGTGCATCCTAGGATGAATTTTAAACAGTACTGATGGAATTTCCATATTTACAGTCCAGTTGTTAGCTACTTTTCTTTCTTTATCCCATCCAATTGATCCATTTCAAATTCAAGAAGATTTATTAAACAGTCATTTATTTATTTTAGTGGGGGGAAAAAATTATATATAGGCACAATGTACTGTATATTTATCTACAGAATGTGACTTTCCATAAAAATGTATGTGTATGTGTATATATATTTAAGTTAACATTAAATGTACTGGAATGAACCAAACTTTATTTCCTATTAATCTTCTTCATCAGCTGGTGATACGTGTACACATGTCAGATGAGAGCTCAAAGACGCCACAGTTGATTTTTACTGCATTTGGCAGGTTGCCATGTGTAACTGTACTCGATTATTGTAGTTTATTCAAAGTAGCCAACCTTTGGTTAGATTACAGATAGCTTGGGAATAAACTCTGGGTATTTTGTCAACCAGCTTGACCAAACCAACCATCATGAGATGCATCCTGGGATGATTTTCAAACAGTATTGGTGACCATGTTTACAGGCCACTTGTTAGCTACTTTTCTTTCTCTATCCCATTCAATTTATCCATTTCAAGGACAGTTATTAAACAGTAATTTTTTGTTTATTTTAGTAAAAACAAATTAATATGTAGGTATAATGTACTGTATATTTATCTACAGAATGTGACTTTCCATAAAAATGTATGTGTATGTGTATATATATTTAAGTTAACATTAAATGTACTGGAATGAACCAAACTTTCCTTTCCTATTAATCTTCTTCATCAGCTGGTGATACGTGTACACATGTCAGATGAGAGCTCAAAGACCATGATGGTGGATGAGAGGCAGACGGTCAGGCAGGTGCTGGACAGTCTGCTGGATAAATCTCACTGCGGCTACAGTCCAGACTGGGCTCTGGTTGAGACCATACCTGAGCTACAGATGGGTGAGGATACCTGCACATGCTTAGATGACCTGTGAACCTGAGGGACAACAAGAAGATGATTTTGTACCTTATCATTCTCGCTCACTCTTTCGATTTTTGTCCTCAGAGAGAATTTTTGAAGACCATGAGAACCTGGTGGAGAACTTGCTCAACTGGACCAGAGACAGTCAAAACAAACTCATGTTCATTGAACGGATTGAAAAGTATGCACTTTTCAAAAATCCACAGGTGAAGCTCTTTTTTGTGACATATACTGTATATACAGAAAAAATCTGATTAAACAGAGATTCAAAATCTGTTTTAATCATAGAAATCAAGCGTAGCGTTATTTCTGGCAGGTCACATTAGTCAAGCTCGCATCAGCTTACTCTCAGCTGATCCCCATCAACCTATGGGAATACGACACCTATCTAAGTATTCATATATAAGGTCCCTCAGTATTATCAGCAGTTTTCACATTGCTCAATAGCTAATTACCCTCCTCCATCCCCAGCTCCTCCTCTGTCAGTCAGGATTCAGCCTTCTGATTATCCTTTGAATCAGACTAATTCTAAAATGTGTACATAACATTATTGAACTTTAACGATATCTGCAATACATTTATGTTGGTTCTGTTCTGTTTACCCTGGGGGGGAGGGTATCGCTGCTCTCCCTGCTCTCATCCAGGCTAGGCTGCATGGATGCGCAGGGAGTTCTTGCCCAGAACAGAACCATACCGCCAATCCAAACTGTATGCTAATTGTCAATCATCTTTGACGATAGTGGTCCTGACAGAAATAAACACTAATAACAAGTATTGAAAATTACTGAATTAGAACTAGCCAAATTAGAAACATTTTGACACTTCAAAACCACAATGTACACTACGGTTCAAAAGTTTGCAGTCAGTACGATTTTAATTTATTTATTTTATTTTATTATTATTCTTTTATTTTTTTTTTGTAAAAATACTTTTATTCCAGGAAGTTTCAGAAAGTTACAGTATTTGATCTAAAGTGACAGTAAAGATGTTTATAATTGTACAAAAAAAAATAAAAAATCTTTCAAATAAATGTTGTTCTTTTGAACTTTCTATTCATCAAAAAAATGTTGTTTCCACAAAAATAAGAAGTAGCACATTTCTGAAGGATCATGTGACACTGAAGACTAAAGTTATGGCTGCTGAAAATTCAGCTTTGCCTCACAGGAATATATTTAAAAATTGTACCGTGCCTAAACTTTTATATGTTCACACGATGATCCAAAGTTAGGCTTAAAGTAATAGCAAAGAGTTATGATTCTTTAAATGTTTTATGTTGTCACCCTGATTCACTTGTTGCATATTATGTATGTTTCTAAGAACTATTTACTTGGGAGGAAGGAGACCTCTGAGATGGCAGACAGAAACAAGGAGGCACTGCTGGAGGTGAAGCACACATTAAAATACAAATTATAGTTTGATATCATAGTACAATGGTACATTTTCAATTAAAGCACATTGGGTCTCAAGTAAAACTCAGAAAACCTCAAAACCATGCTGAAACACAAACACTTTTTATAAAGGCCTAGACTAACTAGCCTAACCTCTCATTATTGAGCACGTTTACATGCACACCAGTAAGCTGATAACTCATCAAAAAAATGTTGTTTCCACAAAAATAAGAAGTAGCACATTTCTGAAGGATCATGTGACACTGAAGACTAAAGTTATGGCTGCTGAAAATTCAGCTTTGCCTCACAGGAATATATTTAAAAATTGTACCGTGCCTAAACTTTTATATGTTCACACGATGATCCAAAGTTAGGCTTAAAGTAATAGCAAAGAGTTATGATTCTTTAAATGTTTTATGTTGTCACCCTGATTCACTTGTTGCATATTATGTATGTTTCTAAGAACTATTTACTTGGGAGGAAGGAGACCTCTGAGATGGCAGACAGAAACAAGGAGGCACTGCTGGAGGTGAAGCACACATTAAAATACAAATTATAGTTTGATATCATAGTACAATGGTACATTTTCAATTAAAGCACACTGGGTCTCAAGTAAAACTCAGAAAACCTCAAAACCATGCTGAAACACAAACACTTGTTATAAAGGCCTAGACTAACTAGCCTAACCTCTCATTATTGAGCACGTTTACATGCACACCAGTAAGCTGATAACTCACAAATATCAGCTTATTAAAATAACCAGTTTTCCCCGTTTACATGTACATCAGTAACCTGACAATGCAAGTAAGCTGCGTTTACATGACTTCATTAATAAATCAGCTTATTTCCCTGTAGTGATGTCAAAATATAATCATTTGCGTATCTGACTCGGAGTATTCCATTCATTTGTCAGTTATGATGTTAAATTAAGCTTGCAACATGTCAACTTACAGCTCGTCGGGAAAC